TCTCTCTCTCTCTCTCTCTCTCTCTCTCTCTCTCTCTCTCTCTCTCTCTCTCTCTCTCTCTCTATCTCTCTCTCTCTCTAAAGAAATATTCTCTCTGCCAGGCTTCGGTGGATGTTGTTGTTAAAAAAAATTCCCTATTTTACACAGAAATTTTCTGCTTGAAGTAATAAAGATTAGTAACAACAGTTTTAAAGAAAGAAAAGAAAAAGAAAGTAGAGTAGATTAAAAAAAGTAGGTAGTAAAGATTTAAAAACAGACCATACATGTTTGATAGTTAGATTTAAGATTGCAAGCCAATATAAATTTGTCGCGAATATATGCTCATATCCACCTTGTATAGTATGTGAGTGCTTGGAAACAATGCCATCGTTGTTGATTGGTCCAATGGCCCACACGATATTCTTCACTCCAGTATGGGCCTTGTCGTGCTTATTATCACCTGCTCAAAATCACCAGTATATGCTTTAAAAGGCATTTACTCTAATTGGCTTATTCGTCAGTGACGTATTTTACAGGTAGCTCTAGCCAATCAGAATTGCGATAACGGTGTTCTAAAAACGCTGCTCGGTATAATGCAGAAAAGTCGACAATCTGGCATGCGCGCGTGATAAAAAGTTGTGTGTAAACTGGTCGTCCTTGAATGACCTACAAACAAAATTTAAGCGGGCGTAGCTATCTCGTACAGACGTCGGATGGAACTGCTGCAAATAGGGATGTTGGGAAATGCCTGCAGCTGGTTTAGATGCAGTGATGTCATGCTGGCATATAATCAGGAGTGTCATAATATAGATAGACTCCTGATATTATACATATAATATAATATATTATGACACTCCTGATATAATAGTCACGTGCTATTATATCATGCTGTGTCATGTATTATATCATGACGAAATGTCTACTGCTGGGCTAGATATGCAGTAATGTCATGCTGGCATGTATTAACCACGTGCTATTTGTATTAATTACGTACCTGTTTCTGATAAGAGCTTCCTGATGACATATATCCCCGTGGTTCCGTTTGCAATCTTGAATCCTTGTACTATCACGTCATTCGTTCCGCCAAACTGTGTATCTGGACATGCTCCTGACACCCCCGTGCACTGCAGTAGATAAAAAAAAATTTTGATATAAATAAGATTTACTAGAGGAAGCCAAACTATAATCGGAATGTTGGAAAGTGCTACGCGCCCATCACAGCCAAAATTTATGTTTGCTTTTCAATATCATCAAGAGTGAGACAGCACACCTGATACACGTTTGTAGATTCCACTTCGCGGTTATGTTGCGTGTCTGATAAAAATCTAATTCGATAGACCCTGTGGGAATCGTGGATCTAAAACGTGTAATTTATACGGACATCTTATACGTTGGAGAGTGGCGTTCGCAGTCGCTAGCAGTACCGCTGATAGGGTCTATGTCCCCCAGGCTACTGCCGGAAAGTACCCTCGGGTACATAGACCCTTTCAGCGTAAAGCAGCAGTACCACACCTGAGCATAGTCCCTGAGGAAGTAATCTTCTGCACGTGGTAGATTCGACTGTGTGTCTATCCAAGCCACCGTGGCGTCCGCATTTAACATGCTAGTCGCATGCTGTGAACCACTCACACCAAAAGCCATGTACGTACCCGGCTCTGAAATATTGTCCAATGAAATCATGCTAGTGAACCGAACGTGATGAAATATGTAATAGCATGATAGGGTCGCGTTATAGCTGTATAATATGTAATAGCATGATAGTGTCGCGTTATAGCTGTATAATATG